CAAGTGCTAGGACCCACAGCCACACCCAGATTTTATCTTTTATAAGGTAGGGCCCCAGATTCGGAATCCCTTCTATCTCAGACTCCTGAGTGCTGGAACTATAGACCCGGGCCACTGTATATGGGTAACTGACTATCTCTTTCTCTCTCTTTTTTTTTAATCAAGCTGAAAGAGATTTGAAGGTCTTATTAAATGGAAAGGGGCTCAACATTCCCCTCCTGACACATTATTTATCAAAACCTTAGATCTCTGATCCTCGGGCCATTCCAGTAAGGGTCAGACAAGCTCTCGGAAGTTTTATCCTGCCCCACAGGTAGCCTCAAGGCCATGCCTCATTCAGGAACAAGAACAGACTCAAGCCCTGGATGGACTCTTTCCACTAACTGTTGTCTCTGACCCTGAGCTTCAAAGAGAACCGCAACAAAGGCAGTTCTAAATGGCCAGTCATGGCGCGACTTATTTATTCAGTTCTAAATGGCCAGTCATGGCGCGATTATTTATTCTCAATAACTGAGTTTAGGGAATGCTTCCAGCAACTCCACTAAGTCCCTCAGCATTTCTGCACAGTCCCTGTCTTGTTAGAAGCCACTTCTGAGTCACTTGTGAGTCACAAGCATGCTGGAGAAAAGAGAGATGGCATCCCAGGAAGTACCACACTTGGTCTCTCTCCACCCGGCTGAATCTGTTTGCTTTTGCTCCGAGCACCCAAGTGGCAGTTAAGAAGGTAAAATGAAGAGAGAGAAATCATGACCAAGCAGTGGGGATGTGTAGCCGGGTATGCCTGGAGACTAGCCAGGGAAGGAGGGCGGGAAGCCTAGCTATAAGGAAGGCAGAGTTCCCAGGAAGCCAAACCACCAAACAAGAGGAAGGACATTAACCCGTGGAATGCCTACCACTGGCCAGGCAGTTAATTTTTGTTGTTATTTATATAAGTTTACTGGAAAACTCATTTGCCAAGCCGTGGTTTTAAGGCAAGTATGCTCACATCAAGTGGCCTGGGTTCAAATCCCAGGGTACCAGGTATGTCACTGTGGAAGCATTATTCGGCCTTGCTCTGATTTTTTTTTTATTATTCATCAAAGGGAGACCTTAAAACAAGGTCGTCCAGGCCAGGAAGACAGCTCAGTGGGGAAAAGTGCTAGCAGCGTAAGCCTGATGGCCTGAATCTGATCCCTTAAACCCACAAAAAGCCGTCAGGACTATCTCCTAGAACCTCTGGGGCAGCAAGCTGGTCTGGAACACACAGCACGGTGGCAGAAACAAGAGAGACCTCAACAAAGTGGGAGGGGAGAACCAACGCCTGAAAGTCCTCCTCTGACATCTGCACACACACACACACACACACACACACACACACACACACACACACACACACACGAGTGAGAGGCAAGGTGACTTGCCAGAAGCCGCACAGACAAGTAGCAGCCGGGCCAGGATGCTCCATGTCATTCACATCTCACGGCAGCTCTGGGAGAAAAGGGCAGCATCCAATCCTCTTCCTGTACTGCTGCGAGCTTGGGACCCTAAGAAATACCTCACTCATGCCGCAAGTGGCAAATGGAAAAACTGAGGCTGAGACCCACGCTTGACGAAAGCCCGCAACTATCTCACAGGTCAGTTTCACAAATGTTAGCTTGTATTGGGGTTACTTCTGGGCTTAGTAAAGGACAGATTTCTGGGCTCTGTCCCCAGAGTTTCTGATTTGGGGATGCTAAAGCAGTGTGGAGTATCTGTACTCCTAGAGGCTGATTTGGAGAATCTCCCTCAACAGTTAAGTACCTATAGGCATAACAGGCGTTGGGGGAAGGAATTGGGCCTGAGACTGTCAGGCAATGAAGTTCTGCCACTCAAAGTGTTGCTTAGTTGCCAGGGCTTAGCTCTCTCTCTTGTGTGTGTGTGTGTGTGTGTGTGTGTGTGTGTGTGTGTGTGTGTGTGTGTACAAGTACATGCAGGTGTGCTCAGGAGCAAGGGGGACAGATACAATCTGTCACGAACAGCCTTTGCATGGGTGCTCAGGATCTAAAGGGAGGTCCTCCTGTTTATTCAGCAAGCGCTTCCCTCACTGAACCATCTGCTCCCCCCCTGACTCCGTTCATTATCTGTGATCTCACTTGATTCCAGTAACCATTCTCTCCATCTACTGTGTTTAAAAGAGAGAAAGACACGCTGTTAGGAACGAGGAGAGAAGCTAGCAGTTAACTGGCACGTGTTTTGTTCCCTTCCGGTCCCGGAGAATAGTATCGCTGGGACCGACTGAGCGGTTCCAGTTGTGACTTCCCAGGAACTAGCTAGTGTATTTCAGGACCTAGCAGGATGAGGTGATCTCCTGTGAGAGGAACTCAGGGCTGATTAGCATAATCCCAAGGGTTGGAGCCGTCTCCTGGCAACAGAAACACCGACCCTCTGGACAGTCCCTTTTCTACAGCTAACAGCTTTGAGGTACGGTTAAAAAGTCATTCTCTGGGAAGGATTGGAAGGGTTAATTTCTACTCCACTCAGCTTGATCACATTCCCATTCATGGAGAAGCCTTGAATTTGAGCCAAGAACCGGAAGAAGACAAAAAAAAAAAGCTACATCATTAAATCTAAATCAAGTAACTGATTAGAACCCAGAATATTTAAAGAATTGCTATAAAGAGAGGGAAAAAAAAAAGACAAACTACCAAACAAAAGAGTGGGAAAGGTCAGCATCAAGCTTTTCAGAGGCTCATGAGTAGCCAACATTTGTGAAAAGATACTCCCAGTCACTATTTATCAAAGGAATCCAGTTTTCCAAAAAAAGACAAATGACCATGGTGGTCATGGTTGTCATGATCGTGCATGCCTATTAGGCGCATACCTATAAGCAGCATTTGGAAGGTGGAGGTAGGAAGATCAGAAGTTCAAGGCCAGCCTGAGACACCTGAGACCCTGTCTCCAAAAACACAAAGCAGCAACAGGACCCAGGGCATTGTTTTATATACAGCCAAGTGGGCAAGCCTTGACACAGCTAACACTATCAAAATGCACTATATAAACTGTCAAAGAATAAACTTACCTAATTTTAAACAAAAAAAGGCTTAGCAGAACACAGAAAGGAACCAAGAATCTCTGGTAGACACAAATTAGCATAAATCTTCACAGAGTTCAATGTGGTAAGATCCTTTAAGACCACCACCAACGAAAGCATATCACCTTGTGTCCAGTAACTGTCCCTCTAAGTATTTACACTGTAATTATAGTTATAAATACTCAAAGTGCATATGTTTTAAGATTGTATTTGTATTAAATGTATGTGTGGGGACGGGAATGGGTGTCCACAGAGGCTAGAAGCTGTTACTGGATCCCCTGAAACTGGAGTTACAGATACTCATGTCATGGGTTCTGGGAACCAAACTCCAGTTCTCTGAAGAGGAGCATGCACGAAAAGATGCCAGGAGTCCCTAGAAGCTATGGTTTTCCTTTCTCACCTGGGACTTGTGGGGAGGGTTGGGAGAGAGCAGGATGCTGCTACAGAAGGCCTCGCCATCCCAGAAGATTCAGCTGCCCAAAGAGACTCAAGTTATGGTCTTTTCCACAACTCACTAAACTTTTCAGTCTCATGACTACCCAGATTTGAGGTATAAGATTGTACTAATATTCATAAAAACAGTAACTAGCCTTTTCTGAGTCTCTATGTACTAGGCAAACAGTGAGCACAGCTACAGGATGCCATGGGAATTAGCATCCCCATTCTGCAGATGGTAAGTGACTGAGGCTTTTTTGGTGGTTGTTGTTGTTTTTGGTTTTGGTTTTTTTCAAGATAGGGTTTCTCTGTGTAGCTTTGGCGGCTTTCCTGGAACTCACTTGGTAGCCCAGGCTGGCCTCAAACTCACAGAGATCCGCCTGCCTCTGCCTCCCGAGTGCTGGGATTAAAGGCGTGCGCCACCACCGCCCGGAAAATGGCTGAATTTTAGGAAGGTTAAGGGCCCTGGCCAAGATCATGCTAATTTTGTGCCACTAATTAGCAGCAGGCTAAAATCATAACCTTACTGCCATCAGAGAACACGGTTCCAGGTATTCAAGTGATAGCAACATCATCAGGAAGGGAACTTCAGACCACCCTTTACAAAACCAGGTAGAGCTGGACTATGGATCCCTTTCATCATGTGGTAGTTCATCTTAATTCTCCCCTCCTAAGTGCGTGGGAACCTATTCATTTTGTGCTGGGAGGTATGGCAGAAAGGGCAGCCTCCCGTTAGTCAGGCCTGAGTTAGCCATTTTCCTCTATGAGTCCTCCTGCGGGTCATTCAGGATCCCCGGACTTATCTTCTCAAGTACAAAATGGATGGAATAAGTAACATCTACCCTTCTTTCCTCCCAGGCCTGCTTTCAAGATCTGGTCAAGGCTGGGCACAGTGACACCTGCCTTTACTCCCAGCCCTCAGGAAGGAGAGGGAGCAGGGCCTCTGTGAACTCTGGTTGAGAGAGCTCCAGGCCAGCCAAAGCTGCTTAGTGAAACCACGTCTCAGGAAAAAGAAAAGAAAAAAAAAAAAAAAAGAATAGAAGTCTGAGCAAGATCTTGTTTGAACTAACCTGTTAGGTATCATGTAATCCCTTCTGTCTGCCTCTCTTGCTCTGTCTGTCTGCCTCTCATGCCCCCCTCCACTCCGAGACAGCCTTCTGCTCTTTCGCTCTCCCTCCTCCCTCCTCCCCCAATAAACCTCTTGCACATACACAAAGTATCATTTAAACAGTCATTTCATAATAGTCTTATCCCCAGGATGTCTAGGGAACAAAAAGAGGAATGTATAGCCTGAAAAGCTGTGGATGGACCATAACATAGGAACCAGGAAGCAGAAGGCAGAGGATGCTGTACATTCAGTACAGAACTGTATTTCTTTACTTACTTATTTCATTTTTCTCGAAACAGGGTCTCACTCTATAACTCCGGGTGTCCTGGAACATACTCTGTAGACCAGGCTGCCTTCGAACTCACAGAGACACCTCCCCACCCCACACCCCACCCCACTCCACCCCACCCCGCCTCTGCCTCCCGAGTGCTGGAATTAAAGATGAGGCTAGAACTGTAAAGTGATAAAACTGTGCATTCCTTCCCACCCAGAACCAGATGATGCATGTGGTTGTCTCTGAAGGAGTACCTGTTGCCATCCCCGGACCCAACAACCTAGAGAAAAAACCTGACCATCCCCAGCCCCACTGGGTGTCAGCAGCAGATCTTGGTAGCCACAAGGAGGAAGTTTAATGTGCATATTAATTAAAGTGGGAAAACAAACTTTAGAAGCCAGCAAGGTGGTGATGATGGGCTCAATCAAGGGTCTGTTTACCACCCACGAAGAGCTCGTGTCTATGGCAATAAACAAATATTTACAAGACTATTGATCTTCATCAAGTTTTATACTCCCTGCTCTGCATCATCAGCGCCTTATAGCCATTAACTCTTGCTATTCGATCATTTATTTGATCCTTAAAGCAATGGGTAAGGGTGACTATGTCACCATAGGACTCGGTTGGAATCCGGCTCAGGTCTGGATCTGTCGGCCATTTTAGAAATCAAGGCATGTCAGCCTCACAGAGGAAAGATCTTTAGATGACGAGACAGACAAAAAGGAGGAGACAGACACACACGATCACCGAACGCACACTTCAACTGGTGGGAAAGGTAAAGAGAGCTGGGGTAGGTGTGATCTGTAATACCAGACGGACAGCCACAAACGCCCTGCGGGGGATGAAATCCTAAAGAAGAGGTTACAGGTGGCAGGAAATGTTTCCCCGAGAGATTGCTGCCTTTGAGTGGCAGGCAGCCAGGCTGCGGGATGAGGGCATGGCCACTGCGGGCTGAGAAACCAGGAGCCCAGAGACCATGTTGTTTCCTGCTCAGAAGCCTGTCTTCTCAGGGAGATAAAATGTCGACTCTTCCTCCCAGGCCTCAATCCTTGCCTTAGGACTCTCACTTTGCCCTTGATGAGCCCCTGGGAGCCATGCGGCTGTTTTCCCTGCGGGCAGACGGCTTTCCTGTCTGCTTCCTGGAGTAGCTCAACAGGTCTGGGGCTCCCTTGTGGCTCTGCCTCGGGCCTCCGCCGCACACCTGCGTCTTCCTCTCCCAGCCCAGTTCCCAGGGATGGGTGGCTTTAGGAGTGTCGTGTTGCCTCCCTCTCTGGAAATGGTCTCATGTGCAGGGCTTTTTGCCTATCTTGTTCCCTGCGGGTCCTGGCGGGGAGAGGGGCCGGATAAAAATGAACGGAATGATGAGCAGCCCAGGGGAGAGGCCCTGATGAGGAACAGGCTGGCCTGTGCCTGGAAAGCAGTTCCTTGTGGCAGCGCTTCGGGGTAACCTGGAGTCTGCCAGCGCCTACAGGTTGGAACCCGGGTGGGCTGGGTGCAGATGGGGGAGAACCCGGAAAGGAGCCTGGGGAATCATATCAATTCCCCCAAAGGTACCGCACTGCAGGGGCTGGGCCAGGTGTGGGGTCCAGGAGGGGAGCCAACCTGCGTGAGATTCTGCCGCGTGTCACCCGCGACTCCCCCCAGTGCAGAGCCAAGCCCGCAGACAGGACGCGGGGGCGGGGGTGGGGGATGAGCACACCGGGATCCGCCCGTGCCCTGAGGGAGCCTGGGGACCTCGGGCCTGGCCTCTGCAGGGCGTCGCAGTGCCCGCCGCCGCCCCGATGCCCTCCGCCGCCCCGGTGCCCGCCGAGCGCACACTCACCCCGCTCCGCCGGGAGAGCCGATCGCGTCCTCCGCAGCCGCCGGCCCGCGCGCCACCGCCGCAGCGCGGACAGCAGCCTCGGGCTCTTCTTAGTGCCTCCGGCCTCGGTCGCGCCCATAGGTGCGCCCGCCCCTTTCCGCCGCCGCTTGGGCCCAGGGTAGCCGCCGCCGACGCCTGGCGTCTGCTGGTGCCCGGCCACTGCCGGGTGGACGCAGCCACGGGGGAGGAGCTTGCGGTGGGGCGATGCAGCCGGCGCGTGGCGACCGGCCCCGCGGGACCCTGGCCACGAACAGGTGTGCGCGGCCACGAACACGCGCTCCTTGCTGCAGAGAAATCTGTGCGCGTCCTGCAGTAGCCGGCCCGGAGCCCTGGGAGAGCCTCGATCCTATATCTCACATCACAGACAGGGAGCTCAAGATCGAAGCTCCCAGGGGTTAAGTCTTCTGCCCAGAGTTCGTAGCGCGCTAAAGGGACGGTTTCCAAGTCCTGAGCGCTCACTCTGCCTCACTGAAGGAACGTGTTAGAAATTAAACATGCATCTCTTTATGTGCCCGCCAAATTATAAAACTGCCATTTTTTGCAGTCATGAATATCAGACAAGGGTTTCACCAGGTGATCAAAATTAAAATCGCCAGTGGCGGCAGATGAAAACTGCATGCCTCCGACCTTGATGTGCTCAGGAATCCAGGTTTGTCTGTCTTGTACCCTAGACAAAAAAAAAAAAAAAAAAAGCACAACCATAACCTAACGTCAGGAAACACCAAATGAACCCAAAATGAAGACAATAGTCCTAAGATGGGGTCCTGTATTCTCCAAGGGTGCTGATGTCATAAAAGGCTACGTACACGATCCGAGGAGGTGGAAGCGTCACAGCTACTAAACATAATTTTGCTCCTGGGCTGAACCGTAGGAGGGAGGCATCTCGTGTTTTTGTTGTTTTTAAGGCTCTAAAGGACACTAATGGGTTAACCCATTAAATATGGGTGGTAAAATAGATAACCGTTTATCAATTATAAATTTGTTAGCAGTAACTGTCCCATAGTTGCCTTTAAAAGTCCTTATTTTTAGAAAATATACATTGAAGCATTTCAGAATATGTGGAGGCTCACAGAGGTTTCCTAGTGAGACCTGAGTTTGCAGGAAGAGCTGCATCAGAGGACATGTGCATGGTTTCTAGGTGATTGGAAGGGTCTACACTTGGCTGTGCTGGGGGGAGGTCTCTTGTTGCACCCCTTGGAATTCCTATAAAGAGCCCTTTAGAAGAAACAGAAGGGCAGGGCGGTGGTAGCGCAGGCCTTTAATCCCAGCACTCGGGAGGCAGAGCCAAGCGGATCTCTGTGAGTTCGAGGCCAGCCTGGGCTACCAAGTGAGTTCCAGGAAAGGAGCAAAGCTACACAGAGAAACCCTGTCTTGAAAAACCCTACACTTGAAAAACCAGAGAGACAGACAGAGAGAGAGAGAGAGAGAGAGAGAGAGAGAGAGAGAGAGAGAGAGAGAGGAGAGGAGGGCCCCCAGTGAATAAGCATCCAGGCCCTCCTGAGGCTATCCTGTGTTTCTGTTTCTCTCCCCTCTGTCCTTCTATCTAAATCTCTTATCCCTCACTTCTCAAGAGTGCTCTGGGGTAAAATGTGGGAGGAGTCTCCCAGAAGGCCTCCCACAGGAATAAAGGACTGAGACATCTTAAATGTAAAAACCAAGGTGGGAGAAACCACTCTACCCAATAGGAAGCCTACTTACTTACAGCCCAGATGTCAAAATAGTGCAGTGTTCAGAGTGGGAATGTGTGCACTGTAAATGTTCAAGGTCCTGGGTATGTTCTCAGTGTGTAACAAAACAAAATAGTGCGGTGTTTGCTAAGGGCCAAGACATGTAGCTCAATGCAACTGAATCAGGACACCAGGAGGTACACCCTCCCAAAGATCCCCAACTGATTTCTGACCAAAGTTCAGAAGCAGTTCAGTGTGTTTGGCTCAGTGGTACATGCCAATAATCCCAGTACTGGAGAGGCTGAGGCAGGAGGATGACCAGCACAAGACCAGCCTGGGCTACAAAACAGCAGTAGCAGGCCAGGCACCTTTAATCCCAGCACTTGGGAGGCAGAGCCAGGCACATGGATCTCTCTGAGTTCGAGACCAGCCTGCTCTACAGAGCGAGATCCAGGACAGGAACCCAAAACTACACAGAGAAACCCTGTCTCAAAAATAAATAAATAAACAAACAAACAAACAAACAAACAGCAGTAGCAACACTAAGAAGAAAGGAACAAATCAATGCAAGTGTTTTAAAATGTATATCTGGGCTGAGCAGGTGAAGACACTTGCCACACGAGTTTGACAACCCAAATTTGATCTCCAGAACCAACAAAAAGCTGGGTGTTGCCGTGGCTCAAATCTGTAACCCAACACTCCTGCTGCGAGACGAGAAGTAGAAACACTCGGCTCGGCTCGCCTACAGTGCAAAGAGAGGCAGAAACGAGAAAAGCCCTGCCTCAACAAGGTAGCAGGAGAACCCGACTCCCAAAGGTCGTCTTCTGACTTCCATGTATACACTATGCCAGACACACAGATCAATAAAAAAGAAATTTTTTAAGACAAGGTTTCTCTATGTAGTTAGTCGTGGTTATCCTGGAACTTGCTATGTAGACCAGGCTGGCCTCGAACTCGCAGAGATCCCCGTGCCTCTGCCTCCGCAGTGCTTCGATTAGAGGCATATCTGAATTTCAGATAGTTCAATCCAGTATATAAAATGTGGCTGAGCCACTGGGCTCATGTTTCCATGGCTACGTTTGGCTTACTCATCATCCTTGCTCCCTTGAGAAAGCCAGTAGCCATCTAAGGTAGAGGCCTGAGGCCTCTGAGAAGTTACAAGGGCAAAGATCTAACCTCTCTGATGTCAAAGAGGCCCTTGGTGGTCTAGATAATTAACCCTGTATAAACAATTATAGGGCAGCATCTCTGATTAATTTGCAATGTAGAAAATGAGGATATAGATACAAAACGAAAGATAAGTAGGAGAGACTGGGAAGCAGATGGATCTCTCTCTCTTTCTCTCTCTCTCTCTCTCTCTCTCTCTCTCTCTCTCTCTCTCTCTCTCTCTCTCTGTTTAGATTCCTTTCATACCAACTTTCAGGTTCCATGCCTCCACACTGAAGACACTGGCCCTTTGAACAAACCACCTATTTAACAGACCTCCTCAGGAATAGTGGTCACATGTAACCTACTAATTCTCTAGACAAGGTTTCCCTGATCCTGTGTCTTCTTAACCCAGGGCATCAAGAGTCTTGGAGTGAGAACATGTAGTAACTCATTTTTGTCAGCCAAGCCATCTGTGACATATGGTTATGTCCCTCCCTCTGCTTTAACTGTCCCCACGATAACCATTCTCTCTAAAGAAAGGAGTGTAACCAGATGCCTAGACGGCCCCTTCCTGGGTACCCCACCATACTACTACCCTATATGTGCTGAGTCTTACCAACTAGTTCTGAAATGCCATCCCAGCCCAGTGGGCCTGGAAAGACTCCCCTTGGCGACCACTGTCTGTCTCCACAGGGTCTGATCTGCACCTGGAAGGACCGAGCTGCTCGCCACTTAGATTTGACTGATTAAGTTGGGTGTGGTAGTATGGACCTATAGCTCCACATTTGCCAGGCAGAGGGAGAAGAATTACAAGTTCAAGCCCTGCCTCAGACAGAGGCAGGCAGCATGCATGCAGAAAGATTTTATTGGTCTGGAAAAGACCAGAAGGACCTTTTTATCCCCCTTTTCTTCCAAATATCATGTGATTTCATGACACTCTTCCAGCTCAGAGCTGGAACAAGGTCAGAAGCTTCTGGTTCCCACAGTTAAAGCGAGCCACAGATAGATGGGGGAGGGGTGGGGAGGCTCTCTTCAGCAAACCCTGGAAGCCCATGAGAAGAGAACTCAGTCTGAGTGAAAATCCAAGCGCCCTGAGGCACGTTCAGAAGCTTAGGGACAAGAATTTCTTTTCAAAGGTCAAAAATGTGGACTGAAAATACAGTAAGACAAAGAAAGAAAGAAAAATGTGGGCCAGTGAGATGGTTTATCAGGTAAAGGTACTTGCTGCCAAACATGATGACCTGCATTCTGTCAGGACTCACACAGTAGAAAAAGAATTGGCTCCTTCAGACTGTCCTCTGACCTGCTACACACACACACATATACACACCACACACACAACACCACATACATATACACACCACACACACATGCACATACACACACACCACACACATACACACACACACATATACACACCACACACACAACACCACATACATATACACATACACACCTCACACATGCATACACACACCACACACACACTACACCACATACATATACACACCACACACACATGCACATACACACACACACCACACACACACACACATATATATACACACCATACACACCATGCCACATACCACACACACTACACATACCACACACATATTTTCACACCACACACACACATACTACACATACCACACACACTTATACACACCACACACACCACACCATAGACACATACACACCACACACACATTACATATACTACACACACATATATACATACCACACACACCACACCACATACCACACACACCACATACACATACACACACCACCAACACACAAAAATACCATACATACACCACACATACCACACTCACACCACACATACACACACACCACACACACCACACTCACACCACACATACATACACACCAATCTACCACAAATACCACACACATCACACACATACACTACACACACACACACACAAATGAACAAATAAATGTAGTTTAAGAATTCAAATATGAAAAGATGAAAACCAAATAAACCCACTTAATTGGATATTTAGTTCACTGTGCAAGGAGAGAGAAAAAAAAAAACCCTGAATTCCATTCATGTCTTTCTGTTTACAGAGCTAGTATCAGAAGTAAGAAATACTGAAGTTTCAATGAGATTTAAGGAATGTGTGTATCCATGCATGTGTGTATCCACCCACAACATGGGGCCTGTTGACTACTACAGCTCATTCATAGATGGCGGGGGAGGGAAAGGTCATGGAATCCTCACCAGAGATTCCAGAAGCTCCCTCTCTGGACCTCCCAGCCCACTGTATGCGATTCTACCCTTCGCTGCACAGGTCCTCTCAGCCTCAAGCCTAGTGTGAGCAAAATGAACCAAAGGGGGACTTCATCTATGGAGCTATGGGGAAGTCGTCATCCATGCTGGGATGGATTTCTGGGTGGGGCAGCTGCTTCGGGGGTCATCCACTCGTTCATTCTCTGTAAGCCCAATCACTGAATCTCCCAACTGGACTTTGATGGAATCTTGCTC